TTCCTTCTCCACCTGTAGAGCAGAAGATTCTTCACCTCACCTGTGGAAGCTTTCTGTTGTACCAAGAAAGGCCAAGAAGCATGGCCTGTGCTTCACATGCTGGCACTGATTTCAGTGTCTTTTGCAGCAGAGCGGAGATGTGTCAGGTCCAGTTCTGCAAGTGCTGTGCTGCCACGCAACATCTGCCCACCTGAAAACAGATCCCTTATTATTCAGCTCTTCCATGTCAAGTCTATGTCTCTTCCTAGCCCCTATGTAGGGAAACCATTAAGAATGTGGTGTATTCACAGGAAGCACAGTTGCATCCATGACTTGGTCCAGCTCTGCCCCCAATCACTGATTCCTGCTCAGTGAGATGAACAGGTACCCAAAAGTCCCATCTGAACTCACCTAGTAGGAGAGGGATCTGCTACACACTGGTCTGAGTCAACATCATAGGAATGCACAGAGCCATGAGAGAAGTCCCTGGTTCGCATGATGATGCCCCTGCTGAAGGCCAGGCTAAGCACACCCACAGTATGAGCCTCTTCTGCTCCAGCATCCCCAGGATGCTCATTGCCTTGAAGCTGACCTGACTGGGTGACACGCCACCCCTACATCCATCACACATGTTGTGGGGACTCCAGACAACCAGGAGGCTCAGCATGTCACCCTGAATAAAGCATCTCAGCACTGATTTCCTGAAAGGGTAAAGGCTAAAGGATTCCTGCATCCCTGCCACAGGGACCATGTGACCCAACAGCAATGTGCAAATGAGATCTTAGTTGTCCAGGACTGGTGATAAAGGTGGTAGGGTCAAGTCCTACTTTAGGTGACATTTACCATGTAACCTTTGGACACATCATGTGCCATTTCTACATGGCCCCAGGCCTTGCTGTATGAAAGCAGAAGTACCATGCAGCTCTCCCCCCTCCCATTGTTCATGGGACAGGATGTGATTCCCCACTGCCTTTGGTCCCTCAACTTGCTTCCTCCAGCAGCTCCTGGAGTGTGGTGACATGGGCAGAGAGCATCTGACAGCCTGGAAGGGACACATGTCACCAAAGGTCACCAAAGATGAGGATCCCTGGAGAAACCAGCCACATAAACAAGAGATATGGCAGCCCTTTGGTTTCCCAAAGCAACTACATCTCCCTGCCTGGTTCTTCTCAGTGTCTGTGGGCACTTGAGCTCTGTTCACTGAGAAGTCCACGCAAAGCTGGCATCTGCATTACAAGAAGGCTGCAGCTCTTGGGCCTCCTGCTGCCATGCACTTGGCTGGGGTGCAGGAAGCTGGGTATGCAGAGCAATGGTGTGGCTGGACCTTGGGGTGTTCTCAGTGCAGCTAATCCACACCAGGAATCACCATCACAGTCAGCTCCCTGGGTCGCTCAGAGAGGAGCTGTGGGTTCCCCCAGCACTGCCCTGTGCAGGGGGATGTTTTACTGCTCTAAGATTTGAAGGGATCTGTGAAGCTCTGCATCTGCTGAGGCACCTCCAGCTCTGAGCCAAGGCAGCCTCATGATTTCTTGTGGTGATTTCTTGTTCAGCATGCCCCTTGATTTCCATAATGGTGTTCTATATTTGGAGGCAGTTACACTACTTCAATTTTCTCTCCAATTGCCTCTGAAGGAAGCCTGTATCTCTCTCCTTTTTCTCTCGCTGGTTTATTTTTAGGCTCCTTGTTTCCAGCTATGTGTATTCCTGGGGTTTGGCTGTAAATATTTTACAGCAACTTTCACAGGTGGGGGGAGCCAGCAAGGCCTCCTGCCAGCTCTGCTCTGTGCGCATGATGTCTTTGCCACCCTTCCCAGAGGGGAAGGAATTGCTCTGCTGACATAGATGAGGTGATGTGAGCAGGAGTTTTGGACACTGGCTTTGGTATTACAAGCCTTCTCCTCCAAAAAGTGCCTCTAAAATAATTGTAGTGTTGGATTGTGCCCAGGAGAAGGGGCTTGGCAGGAAGGTCAGGCTGAACCAGCACTGTCAGAGATGCTGTCTCAGATCTAGAACACCCATGCTGCCTGCTGGAGTGGCTGGCACAGGCTGGGGCTGTGCTAGAAAGTGTGATTAGGTACCTCTTACAGATACAGGAGGAGAAATGGCTACTTAATTCCTCTGAGATAGTGCTCTTGTCTCAGTGGTGGATGGCTGAGTCCTTCACCTCCAGGAAGGGAAAGAGGGAGAAAGGCATTTTCTTCCTGGTCACAAGCTATAGGCTTGTAGGCTGGTCAAATAAGGTCTTTCTGGGTGTCCCTGTGCCCTTTTATAGGTAAGACTCTAACCATAGTTGCATGTGCATATGCACCGTGATCAGTACTTGCACATCAACAGATGTATGTCACTAAGTACAAGTTTATAACTCCTAGCTGTCCTGCCAAGGGTTGTTTAACACCAGCAGCCACACCTTTCCACATCCATTGGGTGGTGAGTCTCACGGATCTGCGCCCCATTCCTGGTGCCCAGAGGAGGCTGTGGAGGATGCTGCTATTCCGTGCAACTTTGTCCTGAAT